CCTCTTGCTTTTGCACACAGCTTTTAAGAAGGGCAATAGTGAAGGAATGCCCAGGGCAGAAGCTACAACAGCAAAAGCTCTAGCTGTTGTGTTACGAACATATTCATCCATATTATCTATATCGGGTCTCATGGTAGAGATCATAGTAGCCAGACCAGCAGCCTAAAAGGTAAGAAAAAAGGATAATCATGGGCTGATAACATTAACCCTCAACCATTTCTTTGCAAATCGAATAATCCCATCTACAGATACAAAACTTTCTCCTCTAGAAATATAATGCAAATACCTTTGCCAAATTAGAAATAATCTCTCGGCCTTCCACTCGAGCATAGTAATCTTCATCAATCAGCAATGGTTCAATGACCACAAGGATCTGAAAAAGAGAAAGAACTGAATTTCCACACCAATTACCGATGCCACCCTTGTAATAAAATGAAATCTAAAACCACAAGCATATAGAACTCATTTTACTAGAAAATTTACTTTGTTCTTTAAAAAGCTATACATCTGCACTTTTTAATTCTACTGTTTTTAGAGAGAGGAAGGGAGAGGGAGAGAGATGGAAACATCAATGATGAGAGAATCATTGATCAGCTGCACGCCCCCTACTGGGGGGAGATGATCGTGACCTCCTGGTTCATGGGTCAATGCTCAATCACTGAGCACGCAGGCTGGGCTGCACTTTAGAATTCTAATCCATAACCGCCACAAGCAAAAACAAATGTTTAACACTAAAAGCCATGCTATCAAAACAAATTTTCTCATCCTAATCTAGTATCAATCAAGCAAATAAAAAAATGAGTAGTAATATGAACCCATTTTAGTAAAGAGGGCAAAATGTTACGTCTACCTATACACATATTTTTGTATGTGTGATACATGCTTGGGAAAAGAAAAATGTCTGGGAAGACATGTAAATTGAACATTGATAACGCTGTCTTGCAAGCCAGTAAAATTTCCCTTTTTATTGTAAACATACAGCATTAGCTATTGCTTTTATCAGAAATTTTAAATTGCACAAATACATTTAAGTTGGTAAAAAAAAAAATTTCATTAATTCCTTTCATATTAAAACTATCAAACCAGACTTAGCCGGTTTGGCTCAGTGGATACAGTGTCGGCCTGCGGACTCAAGGGTCCAGGTTCGATTCCGGTCAAGGGCATGTACCTTCGTTGCGGGCACATCCCCAGTAGGGGGTGTACAGAAGGCAGCTGATCAATGTTTCTCTCTCATCGATGATTCTAACTCTCTATCCCTCTCCCTTCCTCTCTGTAAAAAAATCAATAAAATGTATTTTTTTAAAAAATATCAAACCACTAGAAACACTACTTGAGAACAACAAACCTTATGCACATATGGTCGAACTAGGTCATCAAGTTTGTATAATATTCTATCAATAACTTTGACAAGCAAATGACGTTCTTGATCCTCAAGTGTAGGAGACATCAGCAGAGGAAGGATCTGATTAAACAAAGGACCAGCTCCAAATTCACGAGCTTTATCAGTAATCTGACGCAATGCAGCCTGGGGGAGAAAAAGAATAAAAGGTGTTTCTTTGTAATTAAGCATTTAGAACAAGCCAATTAATCCCTAATTGTCTGTAACTTAATCTTTACAGGCATTTTACACAGAGTAGCTTAAGTTCATTCCCATTACAATTACTCTGAAGTGTGAATTCCTATGACAGAAGTTCAATGATTCAGTTAATAAAAGGTAACAGAACAATGGCCACTGGAGTTATAAAATTCCTTAATCACCCTGTAAAAGATTACCCACCCATCTTCAAGCCATATAGGATATTATTACAATTCCTCATATAATCCCACTAATTTGCTTGAGTCTTCAGCATGTTTTAAATGCCTTAGGACAAAAAAAGAGAATCTCATTTTTCAATATCTCTATTAGCATAAAATTCCGTGATTAAAAAGCTAGGTCCTTCTTATTACATATCTTTATTTCACTCATACTATGCCGTTGGTAAAGCTGAAGAAGTTAATACATTTCTAAACATAAAATTATAATTAAGATGATGACTTAATGAATTGGCACTCACCTTTCTCATTGGAGGTGTACCATTCTTAATTTTTAAAAGCAATTTCATTATTTTTCTCTCTTTTTGCTCTTCTGGACTAAGTGTTGATTCATCAACATCAACCTAATAGAGTAAAAAGAAAATAATTGAAGTTGGACTGAGATATGATGACTTAAAATCCCTAAATAAAGGTATTATTTTATTTTTACTATTATCACTTACCAAAAGTTTATCAAAGTACTGAATATCATCAGGTTTTAAAAAGGGAAGGTTTCCAGATGGTTGGTCGTTGACACTTTTCATAGTTCTGTCTTCAGTTTGCATGTGGAAACCAGTCATACCACCCAAAGGTGTTGGAGTGGCTGTGAGCTTTCGAGCTGGAGTTCGAATAGGAACATAACCAGCTGGAGGAGGAAGTACCTAAGACAGTTAAAAAAACAGTTAAGGATTTTCTTGATTAAAGATGAATGTCATGAATAACATTTGCACTTTAAAAATATTTTACAGTTTATTAGCTAGGAAGCTTTTTGCTTGGAGATAGGAATTACTACTATCAATCCCATTTTCTATCTTGATTATAAGTTTAAAGTATATATGACAAATTCATATTTCTCATCTGTTAATAAAACTTAAGTATATTAGAACTGTGGGAAATTTAGGAAAATGAAGCATATTATAAAATTCTGATCACTTTCAAACATTAACATATATAAACATGTTGGTTTTAATAATAAAACAAAAATCATGACACCAAAATCAAGTCTTAAATATTTAAGTCGCTTTACGGAAATCAAATAAATGCATGCAAACTAAAAAACATTTACCAAAGCCTTGTAAAATACACACCATTTGAATAAGTCAAAGAAATTTCACTGAAGATTCACTAAAGAGGATTTTTTCCCTCCTATTTCTATTAAGGAAATCAATGACTGCAATTGAAAACACAGGCAGTCAACACAGGTGCAGAATGTCTACACCCACTTTATGGGTGACTACAAAAAGTTATAAACACCTTAAAACAAACCTAATAAGGGGGAAAAGACATGAACTGTTAAAAAGCAATGGGCATTGGCAGAAAAGGCCATAAATGATGTAGGTTCCAGCCCTGGTTATGACACCATCTACATGCCCAGACTGCCTTCAGACTAGCAAATGGTGATCCTTGAGCCCCAGGGACCTAGAAAATTTTATAGTTAAAAATAAACTTCAAATTGCTATGGTAGAGAGAGAATACTCGGTGTTCACGGGCAATCCATGAACTTGTTACATACACAAAATCTTGTGAGGCACCAAGTTAAATAATCCTAACCCAATTTGAGCTTAATCCTGGGATCACTAATAAACTGAAGCAGCAAGCTATTCCATACCCCCAAATCAGCATTTCTCAAAGTATATGGTCCTAGAAGTCCAGGAGATTTCTCACCTTCCAAAAGTAATAAAAAGTTCCATGTAATTTATTTTCACTCCTATTATTTTTGGAACTGAAATATACTTGGAAACAGCTAAAAGAATGTAATGGTAGTAGTAAGTTTAGACAAGGCCAGAGCAAACCTGACATAAATTTCTTGAAAGAATACTTAAAACGAGAGGGCACAGGCCGGGCTGAAGGACCCCCCCACCTCCACCCCCAGTGCACAAATTTTTGTGCACCGGGCCTCTAGTACTTAAAATAAAATTTCTATTTTATATCCTAAAAACCATCACATTCATATTCCATGTTATTACCTTATATCCTTCTGGAAACATAGCATCTAATTCTTCATCAGAAAGTGGGCGATTTCTCTCATCAATTTCTCTCTCCCAACGCCAAGCCTGAAGCTGTTCAGGAGTCATACTCATTATGTGACCTGGAGTAGGGGTAGCCATGTTCATGGCTGGTGTGCCAATTGGTGTTTTCCCCGGGGTCAGAACAGGAGTGCTTCCGCCCATCTGACTAGCTGGTGTTTCATCCCAACGTGATTTCCTTTTACTGGCTCCAGGAGTGGGTGTTTCACCAATTGAATCTCCACCTCGATCTGTTCGAGGCGTCTCAGCCCATCCACTTCCATGCCCAGGAGTATCTTTAAAAAAAAAAAAAAAAGTGTTAATGTCTAAAGTTTTAACCGTCAAAAATTTACTTTTTATTCTCAAACAGCTAACATACTCAAGGTGATCAATTTCAAAAGCAGAATATTCCTAAAATGCAGGCCCATTTTAGGTTTAAATGTTTCATATTTATCCTCCCCCTTCACTAATTTTTGTTCCTTTTCCACTGACTACAGAAACAATACCTAGCAAACATAAGGAATGGGAAAACAAAGTATTTTTTAACCACCCTTAATATCACAACCACTCTTTTCATTTCCCCATACAGCTGAGATATACAGCTGAGCTTGTTTTGTGTGGAAATTCTATATTGCTTCTTTCATCCATTGCATGGCAGGTTCTCTCCCATATCATTAAAGATTCTGCAAATAAATTTTTTAAAAATATTTTTATTGATTTCAGAGAGGAAAAGGGAGAGATAGAAACATCAACGATGAGAATCATTGATTGGCTGCCTCCTGCACGCCCCAACTGGGGATCGAGCCTGCAACCTAGGCATGTGCCCCTGACCAGGACAGAACCCAGGATCCTTCAGTCCACAGGCCAACGCTCTATCCATTGAGCCAAACCAGCCAGGGCTATAAATAAATTTTAATACAGCAGATGTACTACGAAATCTTAACTTGCCACAGCTCTCATAAACAGTTAAAGAAATATAGCTTTAAAGGGTTAATACAAAAAAAAAGATTTGGGAAAAGTCATAAATACTGAAAGTAGAATAGAGTTTAAGGAGACAAAAATGCGGAGTTATTACTTTATGGGTATGGAATTTGGGGTGATGAAAAAGTTCTAGAAATGAATACTGGTGATGGTTGCACAACACTGTGAATGTACTTAATGTCACTTACTTGTACACTTAAAATGGTAAATTTCATGTTATATATACTTTACACAATAAAAAAAAAGGTTATGACCTACAAACTTTACTTCTTCTTAATGTTTTCCTTAAATTTTAAATCTCCTCAAGAAAGGAAAAGAATTAGGCATATGATCTGCTCAGTTGTTTTTTTAAGTATTTATTGTTGAAAGTATTACATATGTCCCCTTTTATCCCTCCATTGACCCCCTTCTAGCCTAACCCTGCCACCTGCCTCACTGCTCAGCTATTCATCTATCCCTAAAGCAGCAGGTTATTTGCTTGTCTAACCAGAACAGAACAGATTTGGAGCTATAAATACACCACTCATCAAGTCAGTATTTCATCCAAACAATGCCAGACTCCAGTACCTCTTTCCGTCTTGGGGGTCTCATCCCATCGGTTTTTACGAGCACTGGAAGTTGCGCCTCCGTGGCCTGGTGTTGCATGGCCTGGTGTATCCCCACGTCCAGGAGTAGCAGCTCCCGCTGGTGTGTGACTTGGTGTAGGATCCCATATTTTTGAGCCTGGGGTTGCTCCAGGAGTCTCACTTCCCTTTGCGCGACCTGGTGTCTCATCCCATCTTAAGGAAGGGGTATGTCCAGGGGTCTTAACAGAACAAACACATTTTATTTCACACACCTACACACCCACATAAAATAACTAAAAAATTTCTGTTAAATTTTAAATGTGATCTCACTTATATGTGGAATCTAATGAACAAAATAAACAAAACAGAAACAGACTCATAGATACAGAGAACAGACTGACAACTGTCAGGGGAGGGAGGTGGGGAGCTGGGTCAACGGTATGATGATTACCAGAGAGAAAGGGGGCTAAGGAAGGTAGAAGAGGGTAAATGGGAGATAAATGATAATAATGAAAAAAGACTTGATTAGGGGTGGTAAACACAATACAATATGTAAGACGTTGTATTATAGAATTGTACACTTGAAACCTATATAACTTTATTAACCAATGTAACCCCAACAAACACTAAAAAAAAATTTTAACAAATGCTTTAGTTCCTTTCTCCATAATTTGTTAAATTTATTTATTTATATTTATTTATTTATTAATACTCATCAGAGGATCTTTTATTTACGTCTTTAATTTTTTTTTTGTTAAGCCTCACCTGCGGACACTTTTCCATTGATTTTTAGGTAGAGTGGAAGAGGGAAAGACAGAGAGAAACATCGATGTGAAACACATCGATTGACTGCCTCTGGCCAGGGCCAGGGCTAGTGAAAGAGAGAGAAACATCAATGCGAGAGAAACACATCAATTGGTTGCCTCCTGCATGGGCCCATAATAAGGCCCGGGGCCAGGGAGAAGCCTGCAACTAAGGTATGCACCCCTGACCGGAATTGAACCCGGGACCTTATGGTCTGCAGGCCAACGCTCTATCCCAAGTATGTCAAACATGTGGCCCATGAGTATTTTTGTGGCCCAGCCAATGTAACGGTACGTAAGAAACGTTTCAATAAAAATTTCATAGCTTAATTTTTTTACAATATCCTGTTATGCATAATTATTACAGAGTTCACTAGTAACTGATTACTATAATCATGTTGCATTAATTTCCCTTCCGCACAGGTGCACCATTTCTCTCCACTAATACCAGCAGCGAATATTTTAGCAGCCACGTCATTAGTCTTGTACTGGCTTGTTTGGTGTGCACAATAGGAAATATTTTACTTTCGGAGAACATGAAAAATAGGTTTATTTGTGTTATGCTTATTAATCTGTGCACTTATTCAGTGTCTGGTAAGTTAATGTTCAAGAAAAAAATATTAATTAAAATGTTCTATTATTTTATGTTAACAATGATTCATGTATTTCAGCCCTTTGTATTCAGCGTGTCTCTTATCAAAATAAACCTACATTTCTGTGAAAATTGAAGCTTCTGGTTTTTTTTGCAGCCCACATAAACTTAAACCTTGTTTATTTGGCCCAATGTTAGCCTTTGAGCTTGACATGCTTGCTCTATCCACTGAACCAAACTGGCTAGAGCTATTCTCTATAATTAAAAGTTAGAATAGATTATCGTTTTGTTTAAAAGATACGTACTTTCAAAAAAGAAAAATAAATAATACGTACTTTCTAGCAAATATGTTTACGACTAACCACAATTTAAAGTTTTAATTTGGAGCAGTGAAGAAAGCCCTCATTTTAAAAATACTGCATTCTAAGTATGAATCTTAGTTTTGCCATTACTAGCTCCGTGACTTTGGGAAAGGCACAAAGGTTTCTCTGTCTAGATCTGCAATCACAGAATTTCAGTATAAGTAGTTCTCAAACCTACTGAATTCTCACCAAGAAACACTATTTTTGTGTTTTCCTTCATTCTGTGTTTATATATTTGATTAATATAGACATTTTGGATCACGTGGGTAATTATAGCTAAATATTGCAACACGATTTCAATCCTTAAGATTAATTTATATTTACAATCACATTTGCATTATTCCTCTAACTGATGCTAGCAAAATCGGTGAAAAAAATTGAAAGTGGATTTAAGTAATCAAAGGTTCCACAGCAATTTACATAGAGAGACTAAATAGTAGGTATGGGAGGATGGAAGATAAGCAAGTGATAGCAAAAGAGACTGCACAGTACAGACAATACCATATGTAGCAACACACTAAGTGATTCAGTGTGATTTGTATTTAAATAATGACATAAATATTCTATAGGTTTTGTACTATACTTTTTATGTATTTGTTTTAAAATTGGATGCTCTACCCAACATTAAGAGTTCTAGCTAGCTTTGTTTGCAAACTTGCATAAATACAATATATTTAAAACTCATTATTTTTCCCTTTAAAAAGATTCTATTAGTTAGAGCTGGGAAATTTTCCATTAGGTGAGTAAAGCGCATAATTTGTTCAAAATCTCAGTTGGCACCTTGATCTTACAGAACTATAAGAAAATATATGTCTGCCCTAGCCAGTTTGGCTCACTGGATAGAGCATTGGCTTGGGGACTGAAGGGTCCCAGGTTCGATTCCGGTCAAGGGCATGTACCTTGGTTGCGGGCACATCCCCAGTAGGGGTTGTGCAGGAGACAGTGGATCGATATTTCTAACTCTCTATCCCTCTCCTTTCCTCTCTGTAAAAGGTCAATAAAATATATTTTAAAAATATGTGTGTGTGTGTTTGTGTGTGTGTGTGTGTATATATATATATATATATCTGTTTCTTAAGCCACCCAGTCTGCTTTGTCATGAAAGCAGACAATACATTTCATGTGAGAGAAAAAAAATTATAATGGTAAAAAAAAAATTATAATAGTATTAAAAAATACAATGTAACCACCTCTGCTTGATCCCAACTTGACAGCTTTTTGGGAGTGGCACCAGGAGTCTGATCAGCTGTTTGATCCCAACGGCGTTTTCGTTTTGAGGGCGGCTGGGACGCTGCTGCTCCATTGACGACTTTCAGTTCTCCAGCTTTAGCTTTTTCTGCTAGTTGTTGCCTAATTTCTCTCTGAAAATAATTGAATAATCACTGAGTATCTTTAAAACGTTTTCAACATATTTTCATATCATTAATACAAACATTTCTATTTAACGTCATGTCATTCTTCACTCACTCTCCTTCCTATGCTAGTGGTAGTCCTGGTCTTATTTTCCCTCTCTTCTCTGTATTTCGTTTCATACAATGTCCTTCTGCTCAGTAGATGAGCAAGTACAGAATTTATAACAGAGCACCCTACTCTAGACAGTGAAGCAAATCTTCAGCCAATGGTAGAGAACTAAAATGCTTCCATTGAAAAATAGTTTTATTTAAAACTCATATAAACAGCAAATCAGAATATGTAAGATAGAAAAGTGGTAAAAAGTGAAAAATTTTAAATTATGATTTTAATTATGTAAACATTATATATAACATCCCAACAAATGCATTTAATTTCCAACACCCCACTTAATTTAGACAATTCATTATGTATTCATAATAAAGTTATGAAGGCTAACTACTGAAACAAAATGAAGCAATTTCTGTAAGCCAGCAGTAATTCTTCAAAATTCTCCAACCATATCCAAACTCAATTTTATGGGAGAATTAGAGGTTTTTCAAGGAATGGTTTAGCTACTTGGCTTTTTCCTTACACACTGGCTTCAGGTACACACTATCATCCTCCCCACAGACATAGTCACTAGAAGAAACGTATGTATGTATATGGCCAAGGGGCCAGGGACCAGAAAAGGACAGAAAAAAAGCTTAACATGGGAGGTGGTAGAATTTTGGGTAAGGTTCTGTCTCAACTTTACTTTTATTAATAATACTGAATTACTTGTTCAGCAAATGAAAAGGAAATATAAGTCTCTCAATCTCAGCTTTATTTCTAGTCTTTCACAACCATTAAAATAAAGAGCAGGTTCATACCTCTTCTTTAGTCAAATGCTGCTCTCGCATTACATCCATGTAAGTTCTAGCATTCATTTTAGGATCAGGGGTCTTCCCTCCTGCAGAAAAGAACAGCAACAGGACAAGAGTACAATAAATAAACTATAATTAGGTTCAACTGATTTATCTGCCCTGCTCTAATATTATGTTATTCCATATCATTTAATTTATTTTTTGATGGAAAACTTTAATAATTATACATCTTACTTTTTATTGAGTTTGCTGATCAATTTAACCTGTTTGAACACAAACATCTACAGCAGTTTAAAACAAATATTTTAATGCATATAAAAGCAAAATGACAGCACAGTTTAGTCTTCAGAAGTGATGGGTTCCTGGGTTGCTAATCCGGAATACGTACACTTTCGTGCCTTTGTCTCCATCAGCAGTTCTGACTTCAAGCAGCAGAATAGAAGCCTAGAAAATTATCTCTTTACCATTAGTAACACTTTGGAAAGATATTTATATTCAAAACATTACCTGTTGCAAGCTGTTAAAATCCTAACTACAAATAACTGTAACTAGGTAAGTTCTTCATACAATGTTCTAAAACAGTTATAGTTTAGCAAATCTGTTTTAAAATATACCTATAATCTTATGCTCATGTCAGGTTACTAAAAAAGGGCTTCATGCTTGTTAAAGTTTTGTTGACCCAGAAACATTTTTATCTTTAGAAAGTATGATTACAAATGAAAATATATTACTTGAATATATTACTTTCTACCAGTTATTATGATGCACATAGAAGAGAAGTGGCATACAAAGAGATGTGTTAGTCTCTTGGTTCAAGTTTCAGTATTTGCTTTTCAAACTTCAAAATATCTTAAAGAAGCCCAAACAGTATATAACAAGATTCACAGAGGAACACTATGTTTTATAAAATGTGATAATTAGCTATACAGTAGTATAGCATCACAATTTAAGAAAAATAAAATAATAAAATTCTAAGACATTTCCTATGCTGAAGATCATGCCCAATTGGTAGTGTCATTCTTTCTGACACTAGCTCTGATAAGACTTCCTTTGGAATACTTTTTCACCATAATCTAGAGAGGATGTGTTGAACTGCACCCTTAAGAATGCAGACAGGACTGGCATATAGCAGTACTGCTGTAGGAAAGAAATTAAGGACAGTTAGTATGGGCCTGTGAATTCTGACATACATGTTTAAATCAATTACAATTATGCAAGTAAAAAAAGAATATCCCTACTAATTCATGCAGGCTGAACGTCTAATTTGTAAACCTGCAGCAGAATCTCATTTTAAGAAACAGGCACCTAATTTTGATTTTGAAACTCACCCGAGGAAAGCTTCCATCAGGCTCACTATGCCCCCTGTGCTGACCTGCACACTAAAATTAGCAAAACAGACTCCAACTATTAAAAATATCAAAGCCTTTGTATACATACTTTTGTTTTAATTTTAAGTATGCTTAAAGCAAAGTAGGTGCACTTACTAAACTATATTTAGAGAAATATGAGGGGAGCTCTAATGTGAGAAAGTTTCTCAAAAGTAACAATCCTAAAATCTAGGATTTGGAATGGAAACTTCCAAGAATTTGAAAGTATTTTGACCAGAAAAACACATTTGTTCCAAGTATAGAAAGCGTACCCAAAACAAAAGTAAAAGAAAAACCTTTAACCCTTTGCGTTTCTATGGCATTGGCTCATTATTTTCTTGTCCTTCTACCTGGAAAGAAAACTTGTATTATAAAGATGAAGAATATGGCATCTTTGACTTCAACCAAATCTATACACATCTATAATAAGGGGGATTTTTAAAAAGAAAAGCAAATTCATAAGCATGCCAAAAAAAATCAAAGGGCTAAAGAGAGCTTAATACAAGCAAATTCGTGAAAACTAAAGAAAAATGGGAAAGAATTACCATCTGCAAAAGGATCAAGACGCTCTGGGGAAATTATCATGGTCCGCCTGTGCTTTTTGTATTCATCTTCCCGGTCAGCAATCTTTGGAGGTCGGTGCTCAGCAAATGGATCATACTGAAAAGAGGGATGCCCAACTTAATACCCACTTTATTAAATAACCAAAGAGAATATCTTAAACAAAAAGCGGAACATTATAAAACATGTAAAATGTTTAATAAATGCCTATTAATAAAAGAAATATTTTAGGGATAAGTATTAATATGAAAAAATAAGTAACATAGAAATGAAAAAAATACCTGTCCGTATTTCCATAGTTGAAGTCTTCATAAAATGATTACCTTTATAAAATTTACTAAGTATTGCCCCAACTGGTTTGGCTCAATGGATAAAGCGCCAACCTGCAGACTAAACGGTCCCAGGTTCGATTCCAGTCAAGGGCATATGCCTCGGCTGCAGGCTTGATTCTTAGCCCTGGTCGGGGCACGGGCAGAAGGCAACCAATCAATGTGTCTCTCTGTCTCTCGCCCTCTCTTCCACTCTCTCTAAAATCCATGGAAAAATATCCTTGGGTCAGCATTTAAAATGAAATTAATAAGTATTATTTCTAATTTTCCCAAATCAACTCTCCTCAAAACATTCTAATAACTTGACTCTTAAAATATATGGGCTTCCATGGGAATTGAGACAGTTTTCTTTAGCTGAGTAAACTCTGGATTTAACAAAAAAGAAAAAAGTCACCTGTTCTGTTGACTGTGGTATATCATTAAGCAATGCCACAGGGGCATGATATCCTGGCTTCTTCTGACCAAGCAAACTTGTAGATGATGAGTAGTCATCGTCATCCTGCAATAAAATGCCACCAAAAAGCCATAAACAAAACATCAGAATTTAAAAATTAGAAAAATTATACTAAGATTCAACATGAAATCTAAAGACTTACTGACAGTGTGAGGTCTAAACCCTTGTACACAGAACTTATAAACATGTGAGTTTTCAACTCAAAAAAAGTTATTAAAGAAATTAACCTTAGTTTTTACTCATTTAAAAATACTAAACAAGAAATGCTTTCTGTGGAAGCCAATTAAAATAAAGTAAGTATGAACTAGAAAAAACCTGAGCATTTTGTTTTCTCAGAGAGGGCATGATGAAATTTGTTTTTCAAATTTGGAAACTAAAGTTTATTTAAAAATCTCCACTTTCCTTTTTTGTTTGTTTGTTTGTTAACATGATTTAACCACGAGAACAAGTAAAAGATGTTTTAAATGTACTTGTTTCCCTTATAATAATATTTAAGCAGAAAGTGTTGTATTATTTTACTAGTGTAAGAAATACAACAGTGGGTAACTCTCAAGATCTTACCACTGATTTAAAAATGAAACAATTTCTCCTTCAGTTTCTGGCACATATAGCCACCACTATCTCTTACCAGGAGGTACGATAGGCTTCTAGAAATTTTACCTTTGCAACTTTCTAATTTACTTTTTAAAAAGTGCCAACTACAAAATAAAATGTGGCTTGAGTGTCATAAAAATAACAAGTTTGATTACCTATATCCATAAAATGTCTATTACTGAATCATACAAAAAAGGGATAGCTATTCCACCAAATTTGGATGTTTGAGATGATCTGTCAAAATGTAAGCTATGGGAATATATAAAAACACTCAGATGTATTTCAAAATGAAAGTGGTCATCCTCCAGAATAACTGAAACAGGCACGAAGAATCCATTAATAGTATCAATAACAAAACAGCACTAAGCACAAATCAGATTCAGGTTACAAGGACAGCTGGCTGCTCACTATGAAGTCACTTCCCATGTGGGTTACTCTAAACAGAGCTCAGTAGTAAGGATTTACTTTATACAATTAATGATTTGTAGGTGCTTTGCTAGATAAATAAACATAATGGTTCAGAACTAAGAGGAAGGATTCTTTCAACAGTTTTATCCTCCAAAAGGAAGATCTCCCAATTTCCAAAATGTCTGCAGATTAAGCCAGATGACTCAAAGAGAAAATACCTTTATATTTCTTGCTCTCCACCCAAAGAAAATTAAAAATGCTTGACTCTTGTATACTTTGTACTTACATCTTCAAGTTCAGTTGCAGCAATTGATGTCACATACCCAGCAAATCTGCTGTCACTTCCACCATATATTTCCTGGTCATAATAACCTGTAGAATCAAGGCCCACTCCTTGAGCTTCATCAAGAGCTGCCTTCTTGCCTTGAATTTCTCGAATCTGTGCTTCAATATCTGTAAGAAAGTTAACACAGACATTAATTTCATTTCCAAAGAGCACTCAACACAATGCATTTCCCTACTAGGTATTATTTAGGATACTCTTCTAAATATACAAACTAAAATAATTATACCATATAAGGGGTTAGAACTATAATTATATAAAGCACTGATTTTTAATACATTTAATATATCTCCAAATCAATAGACAATACTCCCATACGGAACAACAAATTACTCTTACATTAAGAATGGGTTACCAACGTTTATTAAATTACTGTTGAATTCTAAACCTTTCTCCAACTTAAAAAATAATACTGTCAATATTGACTAGGGATAAAGAATAACACTCAAGATTATTCTAAACTCAACACTGTCAGAAATATAAAAACAGCACCATGGAAAGTGGTCCTCAAACTTGAACGTGAAGCCGAAACCGGTTTGGCTCAGTGGATAGAGCGTCGGCCTGCGGACTAAAGGGTCCCAGGTTCGATTCCGGTCAAGGGCATGTGCCTGGGTTGCGGGCACATCCCCGTGGGGGATGTGCAGGAGGCGGCTGATCGATGTTTCTCTCTCATCAGTGTTTCTGACTCTATCTCTCTCCCTTCCTCTCTGTAAAAAATCAATAAAATATATTTTAAAAAAAACCTGAACGTGAAACTAATTGTTTACAGGTTTTGTTAAAATGCAGTTGGCCTGGATCACACTCAACTTTCTGCATTCCTAACACGCTCCCAAGTCATGTCCTAAACAGCTAGGCTCACACTGTGAACAGTAAAATAAAGGGCAATCTAACTTCTTAAGCATGGAATTCAGAACTCTGCATAATTTGGCTGCAACCATCATTACACTTATTAGTTCATGATTAGAGTCTGAGATCTGGCCCTGGCCGGGTAGAACTTGGTTGATTGGAGCACGGTCCTGATGTGCTAAAGTTTCGGGGTTCAATCCGCAGTCAGGGCACAAAAAACAATCAACGAATGCAACAAATAAGTGAAGCAACAAATCAATGTTTCTCTTTCTCTTCCTCTCTCTCCCACCCTCCCTCTCTCTCTAAAATCAATACACAAAAAATAAAGGTTGGGAAAAAAGTGTGTATAACTATGATTTTTTATAAAGTCTGAGATCTGAAATCAAAACATCTGCCTTCAAAGAAAGGTTCTTTCTCTACTAATTAATACTTCATTTAAACATGTGTACCTCAGTTTCCTACAACATAAAGGTTTTTTTAAAGGATTAAATCACCACCCCCACCTCCCCAAGCACCATGTTTTCTATTCACAGGTCTAGTATTTAGAAGACTGACATCTGGTGAATGACGAATCAACTCTCCTCAACTGCCCCCCAAACTTCTCAATTTTTAATTTTGTCAAGAGTAGGAAAAATTAAAATACAGTGAACACTCACATAACTTCACCTGTATTCATCAACTGTGTATATATGAGATAAAGCAAATGTGTGTACATATAACTTTTCTAAACCATTTAAAACTCCTAATATTTCTGCATCTATTTCCAGATCTAGGACATTCTCTTATATAAATAACCACAACAGATTTAACATGCTCAAGAAATGAGCATGCTAAACCTTAATAACATTATCATCTAATATATTATCTAGCTTCATATCTCCCCAATTGTCCTAGTAACAAACATCCTTTTCCACAATTGATCCACAATTCAAGCAAGAGCCAGGCATTGCACTTAATTGTCATGTCTTTAGTGTCCTTCAAATACAGATGAGTCCTCCCAATTTTTTTAGCCTTTCCTGACACCAGGTAACTTTAAATTACAATTTTAAATGTTTAAATGTTTCATTTTAATTATCTGGATAACACAGAGTGGCGGAAAGAAACAAAATTTTTACTGCCAGTGATTTTCTGTAGCCTAACTGATGCTTTCATTTTTGCCAGATCATTACCTTCAACTGAATTACACCTTAATACCAGCTACTCTAAAAAGCTAATTTATTGAATGCCGGGCGGGGTGGGGGGGGAGACATATATAATACTCTTTGTAATACTTTAAGCAATAAAACAAATTTTTTTTAAAAAAAAGCTAATTTATTAGTTTGCAAGGATCCAAAAGGGGAAAGATTCAAATGCTAATCCCGACCCCACGCTAAGGGAGAAAACCCTCTGTAGTTCCAAAGATGGGTGCAGAGAAAATGGAATAACAGTACCCAGTCTAAGACACAGCTGGGGCAGGCACATTTCCCTATAAGAGTGAGAACAAGTCTCAGAAACTCAAAGTAATGGAACAGGTTTACTACTGAACTAGCAGCCCCAGTTTGTACCCAAATCTCAAAATTCTTAGATCTTTTATGAAATACCTTTAACCTCAAAAGTTCCAACTCTTCTGAATCTTTGTCATTTTTTTCCTTTTCTGGCTTTACTGATCTCATTAACTGATTAGGTAATGTAAAATCTTCTACATGTTAAGATATAGACATGCTTTTTAAAAAACTAAACTTGCTCCAATTATCTACAGAAATGTCATTATTCAACTAAAACTCCCCCCCTTTTTGGAAGGGAATTCTGATCTTAGAAACATTTCAACCACCAGAAAACAAATCCTTTCCTAGAAGGTCAATATTAATTAAGTGTGAAATCTCAATTCATTCAAAAAATTATTTCCAGCCCTGACCCGTTTGGCTCAGTGGATAGAGCGTTGGTCTGCGGAGTGAAGGGTCCCAGGTTTGATTCCAGTCAAGGGCATGTAACTTCACTGATCGATGTTTCTCTCTCATAGATGTTTCTAATTCTCTATCCCTTTCCCTTCCTCTGTGTAAAAAATCAATAAAATATTTTTTAAAAATTATTTCCATTTACTTAAAAGTTATTATAGCACTGGCTGGCTGGAGTGTTGTCCTGCGCACCGAAGGGTCGCAAGTTCAATTCCTGGTCAGGACACATACGCAAGTTTCGGGTTAGATCTCAGGAAGGCATATGGGAAGCAACCAATCGATGTTTCTCTCACATAGATTTCTCTCTCTCCTTCTACTTTCCTCTCTAGAATCAATGAACAGCATATCCTCATGAAGATAATAGTGTTTCCTTTTAAAAAATTACTTTAAAAAATATTTTTTTAATCCTCACCCAAGGATATTTTTCCATTGATTTTTAGAGAGAGGTAAAGAGAGAGAGAAACATCAATGTGAGAGAAACACACCAACTGGTTGCCTCCTGCACGAGCCCCGCCATGCCTGGGCCCGGGAGGAAACTACAACCGAGGCATGTGCCCCTGACCAGAATCAAACCAGGACCCTTTGGTCCACAGGCTGACGCTCTATCTACTGAGAGAACCGCCTAGGGCTACTACGTTACTTTTAAGTCAGAAAAATGTAATGCTAAAATTACACTTGTCTAACAAATACATCAAATTTTATCTGGCAGTTCAGTTTGACATCAAAAAATAGTACTTCAGAACTATGGGTAACATCTTATCTATTATTTGCATTTTAAACTAAGACCTAAATAAACTGAGATTAACCACCACTGGTCACACCTCATACAACCAAATTCTGTCCCTCTACTCATTTACCCTTCTGTGCCTTTTATTTCTATGCCTCAGATACTGCTAACTCCAGCTTGTAGCATTTCCTCCTCCTTGATGTGTTTTTATTCTTAATTTTAAATTCATATTGTTTGCAATCTTTTAATCACTGTTCATTACATGTTACAGAGCATAGCCTTTGGATGTTAACCATTCACTGACACTTTTTAGTCAGGTCCATAAGTGTCATCCATTCTGCACAGCCAGTGCAATTGATGAGCAAGGATTTTTCAAATGAGACTTCTAAAAGACATCCAGAAAAATATCTCACCTCTCAGGCTTTCCCTTAAACAAAATTCCAGTAAGACAACTAACTACAATGGTAAATTATTTTACTGAAAATTACAGATATCAATTCCTAAACGATGAACTCCTGATTAACATTAATTCAATAACTAAATTCTAAAGAAAAAATCCTTTTCAAAATCCTTAAGCAACTTTTCCCTTTTATTTTACCAGCAATATTCATACTGAAGTCCACAAAAGTATACAAAGCAAAATAATTAAGTGAACATAGAAAAATAAAAATTTCAGAATATGCAGAAAAAATAACTATCTCAGGCATTCTGCAAGCAAAAAATTAGAGAAAAAAACTTTTCAGCTTTGTGATACCAAAAAATATCTACTCAAGAGATAGTGGCAAAACAAGCCACTGGAATTTTTGGATAATCCATTTTTCCTTTCCAAAACAGAAAAGTGTTCCCCCACTTGCCATAGTCAGCAATATCTGCAGAACTGCTGGATAGCAAGATTATTCACACTAATAATTGTCTACATTTGACATGTGCAAAAAGGTCCAAAATTTTTTATTTCATTTTAATATTTCAATACTGGAAAGCATAAGCCACACTGATCAAGGTAAGAAATAATCAAGTTGAGAGAACCAAGATGGCGGCATAGGTTAACGCCAGAATTTGCTGCCTTCAACAACCATTTCAAAAGTGAAACTAAAAGACAGAACGGACACCACCCAGAACCACAGGAACGCTGGCTGAGTGGAAGTCCTACAACTAGGAGGAAAGAGTAACGCATACGGACACTCAGAGGAGGCGCAGTGCTGAAGTCAAATTCTGAGGTGCGGAGTGCGCAGAGCGGGCTGGCGGCGGAGGGCGCGGTTGTTGTTTTCAATCGGGAGGGAGTCGCAGACTCTGAGCTCCAGATCCGGTCGAGTCTTTA